ATGCACAGCCACTCTAGCCTCTTAAAAATCAGAGAGGCAAACAGAAAGCAAGCAACAAAACATCCACTCAACAAAGACAAACCCAGGTATCAGCACTTAGAATTACAATCATCCCAAACTCAGGTGACTAGATACCAGCGTAAAAACACAGTAACAGCCATGACAGCATGTCTCCACTGGAGTCCAGCAACCCTACTACAGCAGGTCCTAAGTATTGCAACAAAGCTGAAGCACAAGGAAAAGACCTTGAAATAGCCTTTATGAATATGATAGAGGTCCGTAAAGAGGAAATGGATAAGTCTCTTAAAGAAATCCAGAAAAACAGAACAGTGAAAAGGAATGAATAAAACAGTTCAAGACCCAAAGTGGAAATAGAATCAATAGAGAAAACCCAAACTAAGGGACATTGGGAAATGAAAAGTTTAAGAACTTTAACAGAGGCAAACCTCATTAACAGAATATGAGAGATGGAAGAGAAAATCCCAGGCATTAAGGATAAGAAAGAAGAAATGGATACACTGATCAAAGAAAATGTTAAATCTAAAAAAGTCCTAACACAAAACATCCAAGAAATCTGGGAAAACTATGAAAACACCAAATCTAAGAATAGGAATAGAGGAAGGAGAAGAAACCCAGGTCAAAGTCACAGAAAATATTTTCAACAAAATCATAGAAGAAAATTTCCCTAACCTAAAGTATAAGAAGAACACAAAACATGAAATACACCGGACCAGAAAAGAAAGTCCCTTGGCACATAATAATAAAAATATTAAACCTACAGAATAAAGAATATTAAAAGCTTCAAGGAAAAACACCAACTAATTATAAAAACAGACCTGGTAGAATAACACCTGACTTCTTAAAGCCAGAAGAGTCTGGACACATGTTCTACAGACTCTAAGAGACCACAGATGCCACCCAGACTACTATACTCAGCAAAACTTTCAATCAACATAGATGGAGAAAATAAGACATTCCATGATAAAACCAAATTTAAGCATTTTCTACCTACAAATCCAGCCCTAAAGAAGGTGCTAGAAGGAAAATTCCAACATAAAGAGGTTAAAAAATACATGAAATAAATAATACCAGACAAACAACTTAATAGGAGTAACACACACACACTCTACCACCACCAACAAAATAACAGGAATCAACAAACACTACTCATTGATATCTCTCAACATCAATGGTCTAAATTCTCCAATAAAAAGACCTCTAATAATTAACAAAGATTCCTTTAAAAATTCCTGCTTCACAAAAAACGCCTGTAAAATATTTTAGACTTGTAGGCCAAAGATGGATGCCTCAATGTTGCAGAGGAACCTTATGTGACTTATCCAGGCAGTCAGATGTCTCTGTTTCGTATTAGTTTTGGAAGTTGTTTGCTCTGTACTTCCTGTTCACTCAGGTAATACTATACCCTTCTGGGATCTCTGATGCGGTTGATGACTAGTTGTAGTTACAGTTTTCCTTGACACCAAATTCATAAAAGAAACTCACAAAGGAGGTGTAAAGAATGTAAGACTAAGAAACATAAAAGCGTAAGTGGTTTATCTAAGAAAATGTTTGGAGTTCTAAAAGATAGCTTTGGGTTGGTAATACAAGTTAGGATAGAAAGTGAATTCAGCACAAAACTTTGAATTCATCAGATAGGCTAGATAATGGAGTATTTTCTTTGAATTTGCCAAATGCAAATGGACTGGACGTTGTTACTGTAATTCTTACCTGATAATTGTTCTTATTTGTACATAGTTTTACTTTGTTAAATTTAAAACCTTCCCTTTCTATTTAGACAATACCTGATAATTGTTTTTTATTGTATATAGTTTTACTGTGTTAAGAGTTAAAAACCTTTCCTTTTTATTTAGACAAAAAGAGGGAAATGTTGTGGGATATCTGTTCATACTGACACTCCAGAACTTCCAATAAAGTTAAACCTTGAATTAGCAGGCAGAGTCAGCGATTGGCTGACCAGAATTAGCCATAGATATTTTGGAGGACTGGGGGGTGTCAGATAGAGAGGTACAGGAATGTTGAGTTGTAACCACTCCCAATTTCAAGTTGTACTGCAGAGCTAATTAATACAGCACTGGCGCAAAACCAGACATGCCTATCAAAAGAACTGAACTGAATATCCAGACAGCAACCACACATCTATGGACATTTGATAAAGAAGCCAGAAATGCCCACAAGAAAAAAAGACAGCATCTTCAACAAATGGTACTGGTCAAACTGGATGTCTGCACCTAGAAGATGCAAATAAACCCATACTTATCATCCTGCACAAAACTCAACTCCAGATGGTTCAAATACCTCACCATAAAACCAGATACACTGAACCTGACAGAAAAGAAATTGGGGAATAGACTTGAACACATTGACACAGGAAAAGAACTTTTCCTGAATGGAAAAGATTTTTCCCAACTCTACATCTTTAGATGACTAATATCCAAAATATATAAAGAACTCAAGAAACCAGATATCAAGAAAACAAATAATCCAATTAAAAAATGAGGTACAGATCTAAACAGAACTCTCAACATACCAAACTCAATTGGCCGAGAAACACTTAATGAAATGTTCAACATCCTTAGTCATAGAGAAATGAAAATCAAAACTAATACGACAGTTCATCTTCTACTTGTCAGAATGGCTAAGATAAAAAACACAAGTGACAGCTCATGCTGTCGAGGATATGGAATAAGGGGAACACTTGTCCATTGCTGGTGGGAGTGCAAACTTGTACAGCCACTATGGAAATCAGTGTGGGGGTTCCTTGGGAAGATGGGACTTGATCTACCCCAAGATCCAGCTATACCACTCTTGGTATTTACCCAAAAGATGCTTCCTCCTACCACAGAAACACTTGCTCAACCATGTTGATTGTTCTTCTATTCATAATAGCTAGAAACTGGAAACAACCTAGATGTCCCTCAACAGAAGAATGGATAAAGAAAATGTAGTACATTTACACAATGGAGTACTACTTAGCCATTAAAAAGAATGAAATTTGCAGGTAAATGGATGGAACTAGAAAGAAATAATCTTGAGTAACCCACAGGAGATAGAGGATACACACACACACACACACACACACACACACACACACACCCCCATACACACAAACAACCTCTAAGTCAACACAAGGAAAGCCTATAAGAACTCAAGAGACTGAAGCATCATGCACTGGGCCTGTAGGTATCCGCGATGGGTCCTCTGTGTATATATTAAGTCAAGGCTTCCAGGTTAGTGGGTCTCTGATTCTTGTCCCATCTCTTGGGCTCTTTTCCCTGTTTGTTTTGACCAATTCTGATGAGCTAGTTTTTTCTTATTATTATCATCCCTTAGAAGCTTGTTAATGAGAGAAAGAGTAGATCTGGATAGAAGGGGAAGTGGTGAGGAACCGGGAGGAGTCGAGGGAGGGGAAACATTATGGGAAGGAAAAAAGTCTGTTTTCAATAAAGGGGGTTGAGGACTAGTGGAAATACTTTATCCAAATGGCAGAGATGCAGCACCTGAGATGCGTGAATTGCAACATCACAGGGGTGGGCTAAAGCAAGCCATTTAACAAGGTGACCCCTTGGCTAAGCCCTCAAACCCTTATTTGAATATGCTATTTTAGCTGGGTTTGTAGCTGGGCAGAAGACCAAATTAAGTCACTAGTTTTACTGACATGACTCTCAAGCCTAAAATTAAAATCTCCAATGAACTATTTTTAATTTAAAACAGCTCTTGCCCTAAAAACTAATCAACAGTGAGGAGATATGAAAGACAATTTAAACAGCCTCAGGTAGCACAATTACTTTCATATAAAAACCCGTCAGTATTAATATTACTTCCACCTGTAAGATCAGAAAATGAACTCTGGTAGAGGTCTTGATTATAAAGAGGTTTATAAATGGGACTGTGGGGATTTTCTCTAAGGGGTTTAGTGTAGGCAAAAGGATGTTTCAGTATGACCACACAACCCTATCAGTCATTTAAAATATAGGTGGTCAAATCAAGTTTCAGATATGAAATAGATGAGGATATTAATTTGAAAAGCTGGTTGTTAGAGAAAAAAAAAAAGCAAATCTCCATGTGGGCATTTTAAAAAGCTTTCAGAGACAGACATTAATGGTTCTATACTTGGTTGTGAGGGTGTAAACAGGCCCTAAACACAAACCGGTGGGGACAAGGCAGTAAGAGTTTGAACTTTCGCTTGTCGTTTGCTTTTTTCTCCAAGAGCAGAGGTAACTATTCAAATAAAGTGCTGGCAGTGAAGAAAACTAATAAAGTCTTGGGTGTCCATGTTAAGTCCTGTTGGACTCGAGTTCATCGCACTTAGTAACAAACAGCAGCCATAACTCCTGAAGCAGCCGCAACTTCCGAGTCCTTCCCAGCTCCGAGAAGCTGAGAGAAGGCGTGGCTGCAGGATTTTCTCAGTACCCGCGGAGCAGGTTGTATCCACTCACCCCTTCTCGGTAGCTGCACTCCCAAGGGCTCCCAGATCGGAGGCGCAGGATCCAGGAGGAATTCAGGACCATTCCTGCCAAGCTTACTACTGGAAACCGCCCGTTTCCTACCTCCACAATCTCCATCCACCGCCAGCTTCCCTGTCCAAGTTTGAGTTGGGCAGAGCTGCCCAGCCCTACAGAGTCCACGCCTGCCGGGGACTAGGCGGCTCTGGGTTGGGAGAGCCAGGATGCTCCTAACCGTCAGCAGGTGCCAACTTATTTGGGGTCAGTGCTCTGACAAACATCAACCCTTGTTCCCAAAGTGGACAGGTGGGCACGGAAACGGTAGACAAGGTGTGCACACGCGCCCGCGCCCGCGCGCACACATACACACACGGAGGAGAAAGAGGAGGGGGAAGAAGGGGGGGGAGAGAGAGGGAGAAGGGGAGAGAGAGAGAATATGAGAGATGCCATTCGCCTCCTAGGGCCTGCGAGCACGCCAGAGGACACGGGAACTCTGGAAGGTCGCTTGGCAGATCGGCGGGTGGTCGTTTGACTCACCTTACAGGGAAACAGAACTGCCGAGGCCACCTTCTCCATAGCCAGGTTCCTGATGCTGGGCGTTAGGGCGCCCCTGCACGTCGGGCAGCAGCTCAACTTCTGGCGGCATTGGTTACACACCAGGTGCCCGGCCTGGCACTGCAGAATGGGGGGCAGGACATAGTCAAAGCAGACCGGGCACTCGAAGAGCGAGGTCAACTCGTGGTGCTGCGGGGACACCGGGCCGGCCCCGCCGCCGGCGCCGGGGCCTGAGATCACCGCTGCCGCGGCGGGCACCGC